ACCCTGTGCTTCGGCGGGCGCCTCTTCTCACTATCTTCTTGGAATCGCCAGACTGGAATGCGCATATGCGCCTGCACTCAACACGGGTATCAACAAATACCGGGTCGGATGGTGCGGCTACTGGTATCTTTGATAACTTTACTGATTCCTTTGTCAACGCCTTCTCTAAAGTGCACAAGCCAGACCGGCGCTTTATCGAGGTGCGAGAGAAGGCCGATAAGCTAGACGAAGACCTATCACATGTGGAGAAGACCGTGGCGCGGGTTGCGCGGCGTGAATCTGATATGGAGACAGACTATGCTGAGCTAGCGACGCAGTTCCGCAAACTCGTCCCGTTAGAGCCTGCTATTGAGATGCCCCTACAGGTCTTTGCAGCTTCAGTGGAAGAGACCGCGCGTGGGATGCGCGGGCTGAAGGACCACACCGACCAGAACTACTTGGGCTCGCTGCGCGATGCCGAGTCGTATATCATGTCCCTCAAATCCCTGCTGAAGACACGCGAACAGAAACAGCTCGATTTCGAGGCCTTAGTCGATTACCGCAATAAAGCTGTGACCGAGCGTGACTCTCTGGCTGCCAATCCAACTGCTTACTACGCTTCAAACCCGCTCACCTCATCCCCAGCATCTTTCATCCGCTCTAAAATGGAGGACATGCGCGGCGTCGACCACGAACAGTCCCGCCGCGAGCGTGTGCGAAAGCTTGAGCTCCGCATTGACGAATTAACCCGCGAGGTCGAGTCGGCCAAAACTACATCCGAGATGTTCGATGAGGAAGTAATTCGTGAAGTCGCAGATTTCGAACGTATCAAGGCGGTCGAGTTCCGAGATGGGCTCGGTTCATTCGCCGATTCGCACATTGAGTTCTACCAGGGCGTGCTCTCTACGTGGGAGCGGTTTGTAGCAGAGATGGAGGGCGAAGCTGAGCCCGGACATGACTCTGATGCGCCTGCTAGCGGAGCCATTTAGCTATTTCGGTCTGTGCATGCTTAAGTCATTACCGAGTCTGATATAGCAGTTCATGTCTTCGTTTTTGCTAGCTTATTCCGTGTTTCATACCCGCAATACCATCATAAATCTTCATTTATTCAGATATGCAGCCACTCAGGCAAGTCAAATTCAATAGCGATGGACCAAACCTCCATGCATTAAAAGCTTAACAGCCGTTCATAAAAGAAGAGGGATTCCCATCACCAGCGTGGACAGAACCCCGGAGCTCTATGCACGGTTAATATTGTTTGTACTGTTTGCACCGCATGTCTATCTTCGATCATCCGATGCAACTTCCAATGGATCACCAAACACAATGCGTCCAATCTCCAGAGCCGTGCTTCGGCCGTATGTTTGCCCAACCTGCCGGCATGGCATTAGCGCCGGTCGGCGGCAATTTGCGTCTAAATCGGATTCTCCTGACCTCTACGATGTGGTTTGTGTTGGAGGCGGGCCCGCGGGCCTAGGGTTATTGGCCGCACTTCGTATGTATAACATATGTAACGCAAATAAGAAAGATATATACTGATACAATGTTACTACAGGAGCATCGCCTATTACCTCGAAGCTCAAAGTAGCCCTCATCGAGAGCCAAGATCTCCGCAAAGCCAAAGCTTGGGACCTTGAACCGAACCAGTTCTCCAACAGGGTCAGCAGCTTGACCCCCTCGACCGTCTCGTTCCTGCGTAGCATTGGCGCCTATGATCAACTCGATGTCAACCGCGTGCAAGAATACCAGGACATGCAGGTCTGGGACGGCCAAACCGGATCCCGAATATCATTCGATTGGTCAATGGAGACATCCCCATTCGAAGAGATGCGCACTGTAGCAACAATGACGGAGAACGCGAACCTGGTGCGCGCCCTGCTACGCCGAATCGCCGAATCAGGCGACGATAACCTCTCCCTCTTCTCAAACTCCACAGTCGCATCCATCGAAAACGGCTCAGATCTCAAACCCGAAGGTCCCGACCTCTCAGCCTGGCCAGTCCTCACCGTCAAGCCCACAGGCCCAGCCGCAGAAACAGAGCCACCCAAGCGCATCGCTGCCCGTCTCCTCGTCGGTGCAGACGGTATCAACAGCCCCGTCCGCTCCTTCGCAGACATCCCAACCCAAGGCTGGGACTACGGCCGTCACGGCATCGTCGCATCCCTCGCTCTCGCAGAGCCAGCAACCCAACCCTTCCCGGCCTCAAAGCGCACAGCCTACCAGCGCTTCCTCCCCGCTCTCGGTGGCCCAATCGCCCTCCTCCCCCTGCCAAACAACCACGCAACCCTCGTCTGGTCAACAACCCCCGAGAACGCAGCTTACCTAAAGTCCCTCCCAACCCCGGCCTTCCTCGCAATGGTCAACGCCGCCTTCCGTCTTGACATGAACGACCTAACCTACATGATGGGAATGCAATCATCCTCTTCCACCTCTGATTCAACCCCGTCCCACCAAGACGAACTCACCTGGCGCGCCCAGCACACACCCCTCCCATCCCAAATCCCTCCCCCGGCAACAGGCGTGCAGACAGGAACAGTTGCTTCCTTCCCTCTGCGTTTCAGACACGCAGCGCAGTACATCTCGCCACGCATTGCCCTTGTCGGTGACGCAGCGCACGTCATTCACCCGCTCGCTGGACAGGGCCTGAATCTCGGCCTGGCGGATGTTGCTTCGCTCTCGAAGACTATTCAGTATGCTGTCTCGCATGGCATGGATATCGGTGACTTGCTTACTCTCGAGCGATACTCGTCTGAGCGGTACTTGCCCAATGCGAAGATTGGCGGCGCTTGCGATCTCTTGCATAAATTGTATAATGTCCCTGGGGAAGGGCCTGTTACTTGGGCGCGTAGTATTGGACTCAGTGTTGTTGATCGGTTGCCTTTTGTTAAGTCGTTCTTGATGAAGAATGCTGAGGGGTATTAGGTGATGTTGTGAAGGGTGTGTGTATATGTATAGCTTTTTCTTCTGTGTATTGTACTTCTAGTCGTTTTTATATGAAAGCCTTTTTTTATAACCAAGTTCCAAGGCTGTGCCTTTGTCTTTCACACACGGTTTGAACCGCTTTGAGAATCTCATGATATATATAGATGTTGTGAGGTCATATAATAAGCCTCCTAATGTTGTATCAAACCAAAGCACAGGGGAAATGCAATGAATTGGGTATTTTGGTACTATAAGACATCAACCCTCATCTCTGAAAAATATCTCTAGTTCTTTTTCTCTGAAGAATAAACCCCCCAGTTCTTTTGATAGGCCGTCGAGCCCCAAGCCCGACAATGCAAGAGATCTACATAATTTTAGGGAAACATAGAAACCCTCTGAAAAACACGCTCTAAAGGAAAATAAAATGAAAAATGCAGACCCACAATTGTTTAATCACTTAAACGCTTGTGCCCTGCAGCTGCTGTGCCAGGGAGGAAACACCACCTTGCTGCTTCTTAGCAAGACGGGTTTGCAGCTCGGGAACGAGGGAGGAAATCTCAACCTCGACACCCTCCTTCTCGGGGTGTCCGTCGGGAAGACCCATCTCCTTGATGCGGCACTTGCCAGCGGCGAGCTCTTCCTCACCGAGGATGATACCGAAGGGGATGGCGCCTTGTTCGGCGGCTTTGAATTGCTGGGGCAGCTTGGGCTTCAGCTTGTAGGAGAACTCAGCCTGGAGACATACATGTTAGTGAATATTCTTATAGACAAGTAGTCGACGGAAATGGAAGGCTTACCTTGATACCAGCGCTCCACAGCTTCTGGCAGATCTCCATGCGCTCCTTCAACATTCCGTTGAAGCCCTTACCACCGAAGGCCATGACGTAGGCGTCGACCTCACTGCTGCGAAGGGCATCGGACTTCTGCTCGCGCTCAATGCGTGCCTTGGTGATGGAGAAGATACGGTCGACACCGAATGAGATTCCGACACAGGGGATCTGCGCCTTGGGCTGGAACATGCTGACCAGGTTATCGTAGCGACCACCAGCAGCAACACTGCCGACACCGAGGGTGGGGTCGTTGGATCGGTCATCATCCTCGGAGAGCTGCTTGGACTTGCCCTTCTTGCCGGACTTCTCAGCCTTCTGTGCCTCTGGGGCGTCGGCCTGCACACCGGCCGAACCCTCGGTGACAACCTCGTAGATGACACCGGTGTAGTAGTCCAGACCACGGGCAAGGGACATATCGAATGAGATCTTATCCAGCACGCCGAATGCCTCTAGGTAGTCCATCATCAGAGCCATTTCCTCGAGACCAGCCTTGGCGGAGGCATTGGCGTTGAGGGCCTCATCCTTTAGGAGGGAGTCGAGCAGTTCGCGCGAGCCCTTGTTCATAACGTATTTCTCAATACGATCCGCAACCTCGGGGTCAAGAGACTTCTGTTCGACCATTTCCTTGCGCACATCCGCCCACGGCATCTTGTCCAACTTATCGACGGCACTGGAGATAGGGCGGAGCTTGTCCTCGGGGACACCACAGACGGCAAAGACACCGTCCAGGATCTTGCGGTGGTTAAGCTTGATAGTGTAACGACCACCCCAGCCGAGCTCCTCGAAGACCTCGCTGACGATACGCAGGATCTCGGCATCGGGAACCATAGCGTCGAAGGTACCGGCGATATCGAAGTCGCACTGGTAGAACTCACGCATGCGGCCCTTGTTGATGGCGGGCTGGTCACGACGGTAGACCTTGGCGATGTGGTAGCGCTTGATGTTGCGGACGTCGGTGTTCATGGCGAGCCAGCGCGCGAAAGGCACTGTCAGATCGTAGCGCAGCGAGCAGATCTCGCCACCCTGGTCCTTCAGGTCGTAGATGAGCTTGGAGTCCTCGCCATATTTGCCAGCCAGGATCTCGCGCAACTCGAAGACGGGGGTGTCTAGTGCGGTACCGCCGTGGCGCTTGAAGACGTTGGAGATGGTGGTGAAAATGCGATCTCGGAGGAGGGCATCGGAGCCGGCCCAATCCTTGGTGCCCTTGGGGGTCTTGAGGTTGAATGTAGGACCCTTGTCTTTTCCCATTGTGATTGATTCGGCGGAGCGATGGGAGGAGGAAAACTGGCGAGTGCGGCGGGGATAAATTATTTGGTGGGGGATGGTGGGGGCAGGGATATTATTTTTATTCGAGGTGACTCGACGGTTCTGCAGGGAAGCGCAATGAGTCAGGCGAGAAATCGGAGTTGGACCAAATGGATTGGCAATTGCTCGTTGAACAGAGCGCAAAGGAACAGGAATTGACGGCATAAAAAAGAACGGCGCTGCGAAACAAAATTATTGGGTTCATCCCGACCATCTCCTGGCCTCCTGAGGCATCTGCTGATTCGGTGATTCTTTCTGTTTGGGGGTTATTTCTCCGGTGAATTTATCCGGATCAATCCTCCAAGTGTTCCATAAACTCTGCTCTACTCTTTTCTTTCTTGGGTTACAATATGTGTCAAGGAAACCCTTGGAAGTATGCACATCCCCCTGGTGTGATCTCTCATACCTTTTGACCACTGACCACCTACTCCGTACATAACTACAAATGCCTACTATGTTGTATGTTCATGCTGCCCCACTAATAAACCGGACTTTGTAAAGACAAAGACATTGAAAAAGCAATTATATACTTCTATGTCTAGGTACTATTAGAAGAGTTATTAAGCCTTAGGGCGTTATAGCCGAGTTCTGGACTTTCCCCGGATCTGCCTTGTTACGCTGGAAATGGAACCGGAGGTCTTTGGGAAATGCTCTTTCCTCTTTGGGACTGGGGGCCTAGACGCATTCCAATGATCATCATACAACTATGCGGTACGGGGTACTCCGTATATATCGTACATTATACGGAGTACATACATTGTAGTTACATACATTGTACTCCGTACTCCGTAGAAATAGACATGACATACAAAGTATACCATAAATCACTCAATTCGGGAGGAAACCGAGATCTACTCCACAGTCCATAACGTCATCTGATCCGATAGAACTGATAGACTACGGTGTGTCCAGGTGGATTGCTTTCCTATCTTCCTTAATATCGGCAAACTCAACTTCAACATGCGTCTTTTTTTTTTACCGAACCCCTTGAAAGAGCTCAAGTTTGTCTCGCCACCCCCACCATGCCATGCACTCCGTATAGATTTGGGAACGGAGTCACATTTCTCGTTCAATTTGCTTTTTTTTGTCTCATTGGCGAAGTGGTCAGATCACATTGTGAGTTTCGATCAGACGTTGAAGCCAGATTACCCAGATTAGCCAGAGTGCCCCATCGCGGGAACGTGCGTTGTGGTACCGAATGGCTGAATTTGGTATTGTTGCCGCCTATTGGACCCCGCAAGGGGGGGGGAGGGGGATTAAAAACCCAAAAAAGGTTGATAAAGGCTGACGTTAGCACACACCTCCTCGGGGCGAAGCATATCCCATTGGAAAAGTATTTATGGAATCTAGTTTGTTCCAGCCCCGAGTGATCTCCCCTGATCCGGTCACATTTCGAGTAAAAGAGTTCAGGCATGTAAGGAACAGTCACATTTCAACTTTGGAAGGGGCCGGGGTCCACCGCCACCTTCCTTCCCCACGCCGGAGATGATCATTGGCCGTTATGGGAACGCCATGCGAGGGGCGGACACGGGCGGACACATGGCCCGTGAGCGAGGGTGGCCTAGAACCAATCACCGAGATGGAGTTCTTGGTTCAGCGATGAGAGAGGAGTCTCTCTCCCATGGACGTGGAGTAGGGCCACTCCGCTGGGGAAAAGGGTTGTAGCCAATGGGTATAAGATGGGGCTCCGGTATAGCCGGTGTTTCCTTCTTCTTTTTTTTTTTTTTACTGGAAGTGAATGTTAACGTGAGTGTCAAAGTGAAAGTTTAAGTGAATGTCAAGAATGTTAACGAGTTGACTGTAGATTGTAAAGATAGAAATTCGGCGATTGGACCAGTACCTGCCTTAGGTCTCCACGTGGAGTAAAGAGGCTAAGATGGATGGGGTAGGGTATGATATTTGTTTTTTTGTTTTCTGGATGATTCTGTTGCATTTGTATTATTATATGTATTATTATATGTTATATCTTGATATTATCTGTTATAATGTTACTATATTGTATATTGTATATTACTTATGTACTCCGTACTATGTATGTTAAATAATTGGGTCCATTCCAGAGAAACTCCCCTCTCTTTGTAAATTATTCCTCTCTATCTTCCTTAACTTCGTTAATCTCTCTTTAATCTCTTTAGTTTCTTTAATCCCTTCAATCTATCTTATCCTTCTAAACTCCCCCCTCCCATAAACCAAAATTACCCCATAACTCGGGGACTTGGACTTCATTCTCTCCCGCCCCTCTCATTTCCACACCCCAGAAACCTTATGTGATCAAAACGATCATCTTTATTTCCCCGGACGCGCTTCACTTCCTTCTCCTCATCTCCCCTTCTTCATATGCCGATCACTTCCTGTGATCTCTACCCTCAACACTGAGCCTCATCAATGCAGAGTGCGACCGGCCATTAAGCCATCATGAAGGCACTCTTCTCCAAGGGCTCAAAGAATGGGGTGAGTGACAATACATCCCTACAGCCATGCTCTCTCAACCTGGTAGCACAGCAGATGCTTCGGGCACCCCCCGTGAGACCATTCGAATTAGGACCGCAACTGACTTGTAATTGCTACTTTGCGCAGGCTTCCAACCCCCCGGCTACGGCACCACCCGTGAAAAAAGACCTCCAGGTACCGCAGATTTCACCGCTAGAAAAGAGGTTACAGGACATGGGATCTATCCGTGGCGATGGGAGTGACAAGTTCTACGGAATGGAAAATGTGAGTCTCGGGCTTCCCCGGAGTCGGTTTGGGATCGCGCAGTCACTAACCGCATTCCCCCGCGCTTGTCTAGTATGGCAACACTTGTTACTGCAACTCAATCCTACAATGTCTCTACTATTCGGTGCCTTTCCGTGAAGCCGTCATCAACTACCCACAACGCACACCCATGGACAGCCTCGAGGCTGCACTCGCCAAGAACTTACGTTACCAGAACCCAAACGCACACCTTGAAGCCGAGGCACTGGCTGCCAAACAAAAGGCTTCCTCCCCACCATCCGCGCGCCAGGCCGGTGTGCCCCCAAATCCAAACCAGAAGCCGGAAGACAAGGACTCACCCGAATACAAGAAGAAGGTAGCCCTGCAGACCCTTCCGATTCTGGAAACCAAGAACAATGCGACCAGTTATGGGATGTCGGAGTCCCTCTTCACTTCGCTCAAGGACATCTTCGAATCGGTGGTAGCTAGCCAAGCGCGCATTGGTATCGTTCGCCCGCAACAGTTTCTAGACGTTCTACGACGAGAACACGAAATGTTTCGGACCGCCATGCACCAGGATGCGCATGAGTTTTTGAATTTGCTTCTCAACGAAGTGGTAGCCAATGTCGAAACGGAGGCCACGAAGCAATCATTCATCGAAAAGGCTTTGCCACCAACGGAGAGCGCAGATTCGTTGGGAATGATGCCATCTAGCACGGGTTCGAAGTCACCGAATACTACGAGATGGGTTCACGAGCTGTTCGAGGGAACTTTGACCTCCGAGACCAAGTGTCTCACCTGTGAAAAGGTCTCGCAGCGAGATGAGGTTTTCTTGGATTTATCGGTGGATCTTGAGCAGCATTCGTCCGTGACCTCTTGCCTCCGAAAGTTTTCGGCCGAGGAGATGCTTTGTGAGCGCAATAAGTTCCACTGCGACAACTGTGGTGGACTACAAGAAGCGGAGAAGCGGATGAAAATCAAACGTTTACCCCGTGTCCTGGCTTTGCATTTGAAGCGTTTCAAATATACCGAGGACTTGCAGCGACTCCAGAAGCTGTTCCACCGCGTCGTCTATCCCTACCATCTTCGTCTGTTCAACACCACAGACGATGCCGAGGATCCAGACCGGCTCTATGAATTGTATGCGGTGGTTGTTCACATTGGTGGAGGACCGTATCACGGCCACTATGTTGCTATCATCAAGACCGAAGACCGTGGTTGGCTGCTGTTCGACGACGAGCTCGTGGAACCGGTTGACAAAAGTTACGTGCGTAACTTCTTTGGAGATCGACCCGGGTTGGCGTGTGCCTACGTTCTATTCTATCAAGAGACAACTATCGAGGCTGTCATGCGCGAGCAGGCGCAAGAGAACCAGGCCTCTGCCACCGCAGCAGCCGAAACAGGGGAGGCCGGAAAGTCTAATGGATCTCCCTTCTCACCACCGCTAGCTCATGCCCAAAGTGCATCACAGGTGCCCCCAGAGCACGCAATCCCATTCACTCCTCTCAGTCGAGCCCCAACGGCACCTCCACTGTCTACATACCCAGAAGAACCCCAGGAGTCCCATCCAACTTCACCGCAGCCCGTCCAGCCGCCTCTCCCTTCGATTCCCGACGAAACACCTCCCCCATTGAGCCCAAAGAAGAGTGATCACCAACTACGGAAGGAACGTAAGGCCATGGAGAAAGAGAAGGATAAGAACGAAAGGAATCGTCTGAAAGAGCAGGACTTACACAACCGCGAAATGCAACGACGAGAGGCAGAGGAGTTGAAAAGAGCTATTGAGGCCAGCAGGGCTGACACGGTCGATTTTGCTGAGAATGGATCGCCAAGGAAGTCGAGCAGTTTCGGCTTTTTGAAACGAGGCAGCCGCAGTCTCAGTCACCGACTCAGCAAAGACAAAGAGCACCGAATCTCAACATCTGATCTCTCAACGGCACCGCTTCTTCCAGAAGTTTTGCGAGAAGCACCCAAGGAAGCAGAACCGGCCCGGCAAGTCCATAAACCAGTTCAGCCGATCAAGCCAGTACACCCGGCCCAGCCAGTTCAGTCACCAGTTTCTTCTCCGAGAGATTTCCCACCCATATCCAACCCTAAGCAACCCAAGCAACCCATCCGAGCTCGAACTCCCGAGCCTTTGGCCAAAGAGTTGGCCAAAGACCAGCACAACAACCATACGAAGCCTGGCCATACCCATACCCCTCGGTGGAGAACTTTCAGTTTCAAGAAAGTGGCATGAACTACAATCAGTGTTTTCTACTGGTTTTTTACTTCTTCAGACAGCACTTGCTTTCGTTCTTCATCTCACATCTTCAGCCCGACTTTCACGGAGATACCCCCTATCATCTTGCACATATTAGCGCAAATTTCGCTTCTGCACATAGCTTCCTTTAATGGATGTACTATCATGTTCTTATGATCTGCGCTTCTCCATCTTCCCATTATCCTGTGGACGTCCTCGATCCCAACCGGGGTATTTCCACAGCTATGTCTTTCTAGACTCTGCTGGATCTCAAATTCCGCTGGTTCCGTTTTAGTCTCCTGGCTTTCTTTCCACTTTTCCCACTGTATCTTGCTATTTGATTTGTATTTTTTTTTCTCTTCCCGTCATTGCTTTTCACCACTGCCACTTTTTGTATCATGTACAACGGAGTGATACATACACTGGCAGGTTTGCGAAAAGAGGCGTCTTGGGTTTGCTTTATTTTGCTGGCGAGCGTGGGTCTTTTATCGGATTGGGCGTTTTGAATTGTTCTTACATATCTCATTGCAAGTCATGAGCGAATCTTCTCTTCTTAAGCATGCGTTTGGTCTGTTCATCCAACTTCTGCGTACATGCTGTGATTCGGTTTGTTGCTGTTATCTCCGTCGTTTATACTTAGCGAGACGTTGCTCACCAATCCGAATAGAGAAATACACGATACAGGTTTGCTATGCAGTTACAAAACACCCCCAGCGCCTAACTTCAAGTAAACAACATCTCAAATCATGTATCCATTGCGGTTCTAGCATTTTGGTGGGTATATAGGTACAGGCCAGAAGTAATCAAAACGAACTCGCTGAGGGGAAGATAGGCTGTTTGTTGCACGCCACTACTATTCCCGTCACCCTTGACTAACGACTTCACCCAGCGCAACATGAAATAGACGCCCGGCAGCGGTGTTCCAGTCCTATTACACATAACCCGATCCCACCCTCTGCCCGCAATATGCTCCTTGCTCGTGTAGATCGTGCCGCGTTTCTCGCTTAGGCGTCATTAATGATATAGAGGTGTCTGATTCTGAATGGCTCGTCGGAGGGGATGTCACAGCAGCTCGTGGTGAACAGCTATGTAGGTTGGCAGGCAGCAGGGTATGTAGCTATGCAGCTGGGTCGCAACGGATCCATGAGGAAGACCGGCGCGTGGAGGAAACGGTGAAAAGGCGAATTTAACCAAGAATCAGCTCGTAGACAATGATGACCGTGTTGATGACAATAAGGGGTACTGGATTGTGCATATGTTAGCTATTCCGTCGGGTCATAGCTGGAGTATCTCAATATATCAACGCAGAGCAGCCTGCGGCTTATTCAAGGTTGATAAAAGCTATCACTCAAATCCAAGGTGTAAGGCTGCCCTGGTTTATATTGGGCTGCGGGGAGGTTGGGAAACGTACTCCGCATGACAGTCCGCACACTGGCGATCAAGTTGACGGACTTGGCTTTGACGCTTGTGCTATCGTATGTCGCGCCGAAACCCGGCTCAGCTTGTGTGCGACCCCATCCGACTATATATTTCCGACATTCGTTAGGTTCTTATCGTTCTAGACGGGGTGTAGCTGGGGAGGGACGTACCGCGAGCTAGGAAGCGGTCCTCGGAGAGGACGGCGATGGCATTGATGATGAGGACGATGACTGGGAGTTAGGATATTAGTATAAGCTGAAGAATGAGGATAACAAGTAACATACCATAAAACAGCTTCCCAAGACCGAAGAAAAACATCTTTGCGGGTTGGGGAAGATGTTAAAAGGTGAAGTGCGGGAGGCGCCAGATCTCCGGATTAACACTCTTCTCGGATGCAGTCACCATGGGATATAGTTCGTTCGCTCTATACAAGAACACCATGCAAATAAACTAACGGGTTTTATTCTATAGCTTCTGCGATTCTCGCTCTTCTCTTCCCAGTCTTGATCCTCCTTCATCTCATCGTCGCTCCATACACCAAAGTCGAGGAGTCGTTCCACGTCCAAGCCGTACATGATATCTTGGCCAACGGCCTACCAAATGGCTTTAATGACCTGAGTCTGAACCGCGCCGATTATGACCATTTCTCTTTCCCTGGGGCTGTTCCTCGGAGCGCCATTGGTGCTGCGGCGCTCGCTATGCTCTCGAAGCCCGTGATCTTGTTGAATGAGGGGATCAACGGACAGATATTAGGTATGGCATATGTTTATACTGCTACACTTCCAAACAAGCTAACACCGACATCCAGCTCGAGCTATCTTGGGCCTAGTCAATGCCTCCTCTCTAGCAGTCTATGCAAGAGGCCTGCGCCGTAGCTTCGGCCAGCCAGCAGCTATCTGGTATATCCTATTCCAAGCAAGCCAGTTCCACTTGATATTCTACGCCTCAAGGCCACTATCAAACATGTTCGCTTTCAGCATCACAATGCTAGCAATGTGCCTGCTCCTCCCGAGCCCTGTTCCAACCCCCCAAGACCAAAAGCAATGCAGCCTAGCACTCGCCCTCCTCACCACGGCAGGCGTAGTCTTCCGCTCCGAACTAGCCCTCCTAGTCGGAACACAGACTCTCTTCTTGCTAGCAACAAGAAGAATCAACATCACACACACCGTCATCGCAGGCTTAGTAGGCCTCACAACCGGCCTAACCCTCACAGTCTACCTCGACAGCACCTTCTGGCAAAGCTTCCCACTCTGGCCCGAATTCGAAGCCTTCCGCTTCAACGTCCTGGCAGGCCAATCCTCAGAATGGGGCACAGAGCCATGGCCATTCTATTTCCTAAACGCCCTCCCCCGCCTCCTCTTCAATCCCCTCTCCTACCTCCTCGCCATACCCGTCGCCCTACGACAACCCGCAACGCGATCCCCAGCACTGGCACTGCTAATCCCGGCGCTTTCCTTCGTCGCATTGTACAGCTTCCAGCCTCACAAGGAATGGCGCTTCATCGTCTACATTATCCCATCCCTCACGGCTGTAGCAGCCCTCGGCGCCGCGTATCTCTGGACGCATCGCTCGCGCTCTGTTTTCGCCCGTCTGGCGACACGCGCCCTGGCAATCTCGACTCTCGTCGTGTTCTGTCTGTCGAATTTCGTTCTTCTTCCTGCCTCAGCGGCGAATTACCCTGGTGGACAAGCTCTCGACGCTATGCACTATCAACACTCTATCCTCCATGATACGGACTCGCATTTTGATAAGACCAACTCTCCTATCAACGTCTACCTAGGTAACCTCGCCTGCCAAACTGGTGTAACACGCTTCTTGCAACAGCCCCCTTCATCGGGGTGGGTATACGACAAAACCGAAGACAAGGCCGTTAAATCTACTAGTGGGTTCTGGGACCGGTTCGATTATATTGTGGTCGAGGCGGATGATGAGGCCGGGTTCATGGATGCTGATGAGACGAGTCTCCGACGTGCGCTCCCTTCTTCCGAGTGGGAGAAGATGCTTGTAGTAGATTCGTTTGCGGGGATTTCGGTTTTGAGACCTGGGGTTCCTGCTACGGGAACTGTTGAACGGCGCGTTATTGGTGCCGTTGCGGGTTCTCGGGCTGTTGATTTGTTTGAGCGTCTACGCGAGTATGTGAGAGATGCTTTGTTGCGTGGGTGGTGGGTTGAAGTTAAGATGAGACCAAGGGTTCAGGTATTGAGGCGGGTTAGGGAGGGATAAACATAATCTTAAGTTATAAAAGTGGGTAGATTATAGTATGTCTAGTCTGTTTACACCTATGTTACAATGTAGTAAGTAGGGTGCTATAAAACCCAACAGGGCCATCTGGTATGAAACTGATATTAACAATCGAAAATAACTACAATATGCCCTCAACATTCGACAAGTACATGCAAACTGGGTATTATTCATCAAACCTCTGCCCGGGACAGAGCAGATCAAAAACGTAGACGCAAGAAATGGATTACAATGCCGAGGGACCTTCCAAACGCGCCAGACGAGACTCCAAGTCACGCACCCAGGGCTCGACAGTCTCCACGTTAGACCGGAGAGCAGCTTCGCCCTGCTGCATCTTCTCTTCGACAGTCGTCAGACCTTCACGCCACTGCTCGATCTCCGATGCCATCTCGGCGTGGCGCTTTTCAAGCTCGTTGAGCGAGTCCGCGGCGTGGGCTGCGCCGGCGTGACAGGCGCGCAGAGAGCGCAGACGCTCGAGGACGCTGGGAAGCAGGGGGTGCAGGGACTGGATGGTTGGGAGGGTGGTGTAGAGGGCTTGGATCTTGGCGGCATGGTCGTCGTCAGTGGATGCTTCTAGAGCAGGGACGACGTCTGCGTCTGAGCTTGCTAGACGGGCGTTGTGGACGGCCTTTGCGGCTTCGAAGGCTTTTCTGCGGGCTGCAGTGAGCGCCTCAGCGTCCGTGGTCAACTTTCGGACTCGCGTGGAGAGAGCTTCCAGGTGTGGGGTTGTCATGCCTGGCGCGGCATTTGGTACTCCTGGCGTGGTGGATGCTTGGCTCGTCCCAACGAGAAGGCCGGTCAGGGCTGAGAGGCGGGAGGTGAGCTGTTCCAGAGCTGGGAGGACTGGGTGCGATGTTGACTCGTTGATGCCGTCGGCGATAAAGGGGTTGGAAGAGCTTGAGATACCGATGGAACTTTCAAGAAGCGCTAGGCGGCTGTCGAATGCTGCCGCGTGAGATAGGATTCCCGCTGAAGAGACAGCTGGGGGTGGAACTGTGGAGACAGCCTTTGGTGCATCGGTCGAGGATTGTGTATTTGCGCCTGGTGTAGAGCGAGTCCCGGATTCAAGCTTCTGGGACAGCAAAGCCGCAGCCGAGTGGGATGAGGTCACCGCACCTCGCGAAGCGTGCAGATTATCCAGAGCGCGGCTCAGCTCCGCAACGCCGTCGCCTAGGTTCTCTCCAGACTTTTCAGCTCCAGCAGCACCCTGCGACGATCCATTTCCGGTCTCTGCGCTGTCGTTTCTGCTGGCCATTTCCACCTTGAGATCCTCGACCTCCCTCCGCAGCCGCGTAAGTCTCCGCTCAAGCGACTCGTCCTCGCTGTCACTTAGGTCC